CCGAACACCATAGGCCCTAGATGACATTGGTAGTTATAAGTAGGGTTATCAGTATGGTATCTGTAATGATGACCCTATTTAGGGCACTTTTTGCTCTACTTGTAGCTACCCATGAACCTCCAAGTAAGCACAACATGCTACATCCCAAAAGGCGCTTTTACCCCGGATGTTCAAACAAAGCGAAGTGTATGTTTTCTTGTCGGCATTGGGTGGGGTGGGGGAAGGGGGTTGGGATGGTGTTTCTGAAAGAGCGTCTAACTTTGGGATGTTCCCCCTTATACAAATAGTCCTTAATATGGATTATAGTACCCCCCCCCCCCCCCCATTATAATTTGCTGAAGGACTGTTCGTATAAGGGGGAACCTCCCAACTCTAACTACTTGGGCACTTGGTCCACAGCAGAGATGAGAGCCTTGGAGCAAACCATGGCACGGGTCCGATCTCCTCCGCCCTCAGCCCCCTTAAACGCTCGAAACTCGAGCCCGTCTAAACTTGTCTAAACCCTAAACCCTTAGGGTTTACGGTTTAGGGTTTAGGGTTTAGGGTTTAGGGCTTAGGGTTAGGGTTTAGGGTTTAGGGTTATTCAACACCCTGAAACCAAAACCCTAAAACCCCCAAACCCCAAAACGCTAACACCCTAAACCCGGAATCCTTCATCGCCCCCCCCCCCCCCCCCCCCGCCCCTGCCTTTCAGTCCTCAGGTCAATGTTCAGTTCAGGGTTTCCTGCTGTACTTATGCGTAGGGTTGTCAGGTTTTAGGGTTTAGGGATCTATAACCCTATGTTTTCCTGTTCAGGGTGTCCTGCTGCAGGTTCAGGCCGAGTTCCGCAACTGGAAGCAAGCAGTGACAGAGAGATATCCAGAGGCCGGCCCTTAGGGTTTAGGGTTTAGGGTTTAGGGTTTAGGGTTTAGGGTTTAGGGTTTAGGGTTTAGGGTTTAAGGTCTAGGGTTTAGGTGTTAGGGTGTGAGGGTATTTAGGGTCTTGAGTTTAGGTTGAGGTCATGAGCTCTTGGGATCTCTTGGGATGATGACAAATCTGAACTTCACACACGTTCTGCCGAGTAGCCGTAGGGCTTGGCACGGGGCATGGCAGTAGCAGGAGTAAGCCCCCTAAACCCTAAACCCTAAACCCTAAACCCTAAACCCTAAACCCTAAACCCTAAACCCTAAACCCTAAACCCTAAACCCTAAACCCTAAACCCTAAACCCTAAACCCTAAACCCTAAACCCTAAACCCGTCGTACCAGCAGCCAGCAGTTGGAAGATGCAGCACCACCAGCTGTCACAGCTCTTGGGTTTTCAGGGGGTTCTTGATGCATGTGGTAGAACACTAGGTAGGCCCTTGGGACATTTTATCTTTCCCTCATTTGGGTTTAAGAGGGTCATATTCAGGAACATTTTTCAGAGCGGTGGCCATCAGAACACCAGGAGGACGCACAGCTACCTCCTTCCATGACAAAACTATCGAATCATGTACGTTGCGTTGTGTTTCGCCAGTGTATTAGAAAACATGTCTCCAATTTCGGCTGCTTTTGGGATGAAGAAGCCGGGGTATGGGCTTCGGACTTATAGGCAAGGACGTAGGCATGACTAGAAGCGCAGCAACAGCCTAAACATTCAGATGACCTTTACATGTTACAAACCGCAGATGCTATGGCCCCTCGGAACTGCGGGGAAGATTGCATTTCGGGGCGTGCTGGGCTTCAGGGTTTAGGGTTTAGGGTTCAGGGTTCATCAAGGGACTGCAGGAGGGACCTCATAAGGGACCTTTGGGGTTATTTAGGGGTCATTTAAGGTATATATGGGGGTTATATATTGGAACAAGATTGAGGGTCGCTTCTGCGGATCCCTCCTTTTAACCCTTAGGTTCGGGGTTCAGGGGTGTAGAGTTTAGGGTTTAGGGTTTAGGGTTTAGGGTTTAGGGTTTAGGGTTTAGGGTTTAGGGTTTAGGGTTTAGGGTTTAGGGAAGCTTGGCTGCTCGGTGCTCTCCGGCAGGACGTCTCCGCAAAGAAGGAGGATGGATATGCACCGAACGCAAAGGCGCCTGTCTTCTGATGCTGAAGCCGAGCCTTTACGGCTTTAGGCCCCTGAACCCTGAACCCTAAACCCCAAACCCTTGTAAAACCCTAAGCCCCAGCCCTAAACCCTAGCCCTAAACCCTAAACCGCTAAATCCAAACTCCCAGCAGGCCAGTGTTGGCGAGCCAGGAGCTGATAAAGTTGGTATTTCGGGATCCTACAACCCACCCGAAACTCGAAAGCCTTAACCCTAAACCCTAAACCCTAAACCCTAAACCCTAAACCCTAAACCCTAAACCCTAAACCCTAAACCCTAAACCCTAAACCCTAAACCCTAAACCCTAAACCCTAAACCCTAAACCCTAAACCCTAAACCCTAAACCCTAAACCTAACCCTAAACCCTAAACCCTAAACCCTAAACCCTAAACCCTAAACCCTAAACCCTAAACCCTACACCCTAAACCCTAAACCCTAAACCCTAAACCCTAAACCCTAAACCCTACCATAGCAGGCTCCCAAAATGTACACTTGCCAGGGCATCTACTGCCGAACCCCCCCCCCCTCCCCCGAGCTAAGCCGAGCCTTTGGGCATTTTGGCCTCGCGCCGTGCTCGCTGGTTCTTTCGCCCCTGACCTCGGGTTTAAGATGAGGCCTTAGGGTTTAGGATTTAGGGCTTAGGGTTTAGGATCTAGGGCTTAGGGTTTAGGATTTTGGGTCTAGGGTTTAGGGTCCATAAGCCATGACTACAGCCCACAAACCCTAAGCCACCCCCCAGTTCCAGACGCGACGGGCTAAGCCCTACGTGAGCAGGTCGCGGTCGCGCCCCTCTGCCAAGATGAGGCTCGGACCATGCCTGCAGGGGCAGCTTTCAAAATAGAGTTTAGGGTTTAGGGTTTAGTGTTTAGGGTTTAGGGTTTAAGGTCTGTTTTGCCCTAAACTCCTGAACCCAATTTGCGGCGATGCAATGTCTGATGCTTTTGTGTTCCCCTGCTTTAGGGCCCCCTCATAGAGAAGTTTTAAGGGCTTAGGGCTTAGGGCTTAGGGCTTAGGGTTCAGGGTTTGACTGCGATGAAGAGGATGCCTCATAAAAAAGACCCCTCCCAGGCCTCTTACAGGGATCCGTGGGACACTAAGTTCAGCCACAAGTGGCGAAACTTAGGATGTAGTAAGCCTCTTAGCCGTATCGTTAGAGAGTAAGGCGGGGGGAGGTTGCCTCTAGGCCTTAAGAGGGGGTGGTTCTGCGTAATTTGCGTCGCTTCGTGCAGGAACTCTCTGAGGTAGTTGCCTAAACCTTAAACCTTAAAACCTAAACCTTGGACCCTAAACCATTAATCCCTAAACCCTAAAGCCCTTTCATGTTGCAGGGCCGTTTGCTGGTGTTAGGGCTGTGCTGTGGACATCGGGTCGATGCGGTTTGGGCTCCAGTGCTGTTCCCTAGCAGCCTAAAAGGCGACAGACCTGTCCTTGGTGCTTTTGTCGGGATGCTGCGCGTCACGAAGCTGTCAGGGGAGGAGGTGGCGAGCATGGCCGCTGGGGAGGGACGTGGGGTCTCTAAAGCGGCGCCTGAGCCAGCTGCACGGCTTGCCCCCGCGCTTCCGGCAGCGGCTCCTTCTCAACAACCGTCAGCTGGAGGATGCTGTCATGCTGGACTCCCCCATGGACCTGCTACTGGTGCTACTTCCCTTTGCCAACTAGGGAGACCCTTAGAACGTTGTTTGCTTTCCCCTACTGGGTTTAAGAGGATCATATTCAGGAATACTTTTTCAGAGGGTTTAACCCTAAACCCTAAACCCTAAACCCTAAACCCTAAACCCTAAACCCTAAACCCTAAACCCTAAACCCTAAACCCTAAACCCTAAACCCTAAACCCAGGGTTTAAAGGAACATCCTAGGCCAATGTTTCGCTCACAGATGTGGGCGAGTTCGACGGGGCTCCGCGGTCGAGGTGGCAGATTTAAGCTGTAGGTTGAATCGTGGGATGTTCCCCCTTATACTAAACCCTAAACCCTAAACCCTAAACCCTAAACCCTAAACCCTAAACCCTAAACCCTAAACCCTAAACCCGAAACCCTAAACCCTAAACCCTAAACCCTAAACCCTAAACCCTAAACCCTAAACCCTAAACCCTGGGATCATAATCGGGGGTACACCATAATCCCTACTCAGGACTGTCAGTATGAGGGGGAACATCCCAACTTGTCTCCCAAAAGGTCCCACGAGGGCCTAAAGATGGCACAGACCCCCGGCAAGGCCCCTTCCTTATCATGTATAGTGTATACAAGGGTTATATAACAAGGGGCCCCAATAAAGGGTTTAGGGTTTAGGGTTTAGGGTTTAGGGTCTAGGGTTTAGGGTTTAGGGTTTAGGGTTTAGGGTTTAGGGTTTAGGGTTTAGGGTTTAGGGTTTAGGGTTTAGGGTCTAGGGTTTAGGGTTTAGGGTTTAGGGTTTAGGGTGCCCATACTTCGGATCCCTTTCTTCAGGTGGAGTTTCTGCTCCATCTCCCCCACAACCCGAACTTGTTCGACGCCTGCGGCTTCGCTGCTCTGGTGCAGGCATCGCAGCATGGGCATGTTGAAGTGGTCGCGCTGCTTCTGGAAGGGGGTGCCGACACGGACCTGGCAGAAACCCGCGAACTAACTTCGGGCTTGACAGCCCTGACAGCAGCATCTGACTTTGGCTCCGTCGAAGTCGCACGCTTGTTGCTCGAGGCCGGCGCCGACACGGACTTGGCAGACCACAGTGGCGGTGCACCTCTGATGGTGGCATCTGAGCAGAAAAGAAGAAGGAGCAAGCTGCGCAGATGGCCAAAGAACAGTTCCTGCGCGACACAGCCCAAGGGTTCACAGAGAGGCAGTCGCCTTTAGAGACTTTAGAGCCAACGGAGCCACAGAAGTCCAAGTAACCAAAGGTCAGAGGTGCGCTTGCCGCTGGATGCCGGCGCCAGCATAGACTTGGCGGACTTTTTCGGTGATACCGCTCTGATGGGGGCATCGGAATGTGGACACGTCGAAGTTGCACGCTTGCTGGTAGACGCCGGCGCCGACAAGAACTTGGCGAACAGCAGTGGGCACACAGCTCTTATGAAGGCTGCCGACCAAGGGCATGTTCAAGTCGTCCGTTTTCTGGTGGAGGACGAAGACAGGGACCGTAACAGAGCTCTCAATGCTCTCATACTGGCATCTGTGAGTGCGAGTGTCGAAGTTGCACACTTGCTGGTAGAGGCCGATGCAGGGGTCGTGCGTTTACTGTCAGGGGCTGGCAGTGGCAAGGATTTGGCGGACAAGCATGGTGACACAGCTTTGATGATGGCATCAAAAAGTGGCTTTGCCGAAGTTGCACGCTTGTTGGTAGAGGCCGGTGCCGACACGAACTCGGCTAACAACAGTGGGCTCACATCTCTTATGAAGGCTGCCGACCGGGGCCATGTCGAAATCGTGCGTTTGCTGGTGGAGTCCGGCGCCAACACGGACTTGGCAGACGGGGACGGAAACACAGCTCTCCTATTGGCATCTGTGAGTGCGAATGTCGAAGTTGCACGCGTGCTGGTAGAGGCCGGCGCCAACAAGGATTGGGCCAATAGTGTTGGAAGCACAGCACTCATGCAGGGAGCGTGCCGAGGCTAGGTAGACGTCGTGCATTTGCTGTTAGACGCTGGCGCCATGAAAGAGTTGTCCAGGAGGGGGGGCGACACAGCTCTGACACTGGCCTCTAGGTACGGCCATGCTGAGATTGTGCGTTTGTTGTCGACAGCTGATGGGTGGAATGTGAATCGCAAGAGCCGAAGGCTCTCATAGCTCCTGGGCCCATGGGAGGGTGCCTGATTATATAGGGCACCCAAAAAGCTACTCCAGTTTTGAGAGCCACCTATAGTTCATCATGCTGCAGGGGATTCGAAAATCGGTCTTGCGAGATGCCGTGCGGGGAAGCAGTTTGGGCAGAGGTCGCATCAGCGTCTGACGGCGGAGAGGAGGAAGAGGAGGAAGAAGCCGCACAGATCCAGGACCCAAGAACCGCACGGCACAGCGCCTGGGATTCTCCGAACTTAGGCGAAGCTCCTGAACCCTGAACCTTGTGGACCCCGAAGCACTGAGAACTCAAAGCCCTAAGTCACTTGTATCATTGCTAGACCTTGCATGGTGTTGATCTCAACTATGAGGAATGTACCAGGCTGGTCCAGCCCCCACATTGTCCTACCATTCTACAACCCTACAACCCTAAACCCTGTCATCGTAGCACATGGAAAGCGAGCCTCATCATCCTCGCTTTCCCGGAAGACTTGAAGCAATATGGGAGCCCAAATGATGGCAATGTTATCCAACATGTAAACTCACGAAAATACCATGCTAAATTGAACAGGTCCCTCCCATATGATAAACCCCATCAAGACGAAGAGTGTGCGGCTTTCATGCCTGGGTTTGAGCTAGACACCCTAAGCCCCGAACCCCCGAGCCCTAAACCCTAAACCCCGAGCCCAAGTCCTGAGCCCTGAAGCCTAATCCTAAACCCCAATACCTTATAAGCGCGCCCTACTCAAGCAAGGAGCCGAGAGCGCCCACCAGCGAGGAAGAGGCATGCCGGATCGATGTGCGTCAGGTTTGAGGCTTGAGGGTTTGGGGTTTGGGGTTTGGGGTTTTGGGGTTTGCGTTGGGGGTTTGGGGTTTTTGGGGTTTAGGGTCTCAGAAACCTTAGGTTGAGGATTCAGGCGTGACGCTTTAGAGTTCAAGGTTGAGGAGTTGCTTCTAGAAGTTCTGCCGAAGGGAGTTTGGGCTTTGGGGTGTAGGCTTCGGCGGCCACAGTGGGGGGCGGCGCGTAAGCCCCTCGGCCTCGATGGCGCAAGCCCAGCCAGGTCGTCCGTCCGCCTCCCACAGCTCGGCTTAATGAAGGAGATCGTCATGAACCTTGAGATTTTGTTGGCTTCGATTTATGATTTAGGGTTTAGGGTTTAGGGCCTAGGGTCTAGGGTCGTCTGGACCTTTCTGGGACTCCCCTACTTTTTTGGGGGGCCCTTGCCGTGCCTGATTTCTGACCTCTGAGACTTCCTGGGACCCTAGGACAAAGGGACAGACGCTTTGGAACTGCTGAAATTTTCTGGTACTCCCATGGGACCATGAATGCAGTACCACGGGACGGAAGAAGTTTTTTGGAAGTAGGAGACGGCGTGGGGTGGGTTTAAGTGTTAGATGTCCGTTCGGGCCGTAGCTACTCTTCGCATTAATGACATGAAGCTTTCGAAGCTAGTCTGCATCCTAACCTTCACAGCTTCTGTGCAGCAAAGCCCAAACCCCACTCCACCCTAAACCCTAAACCCTATATAAACCCCAAACCCCAAACCCCAAACCCTGAACCCTGAACCCTAAACCCTAAACCCTGGAGGCTGCTCTGGAGAAGGCCGAGAGAGCTCTGGAGATGCTCCGGGTGCGTCTGCAGGACTGGGCCCAGGGTCCTTTATCATCCGTCGCTAGGGTTTAGGGTTTAGGGTTTAGGGTTTTGGGGTTTTAGGGTTTTAGGGTTTTAGGGTTTTAGGGTTTTAGGGTTTTTGGGTTTTAGGGTTTTTGGGTTTTAGGGTTTTAGGGTTTTAGGGTTTTAGAGTTTTAGGGTTTAGGGTTCAGGGCTTCCTACAGGGTTTAGAGTACAGGATGCAGCATTTATATAGGGGCGTAGGCTTTCCTTGTGGAGTAAGTTGGTATCTCATGGTCGCCGCATCTCATCGGGTTTATCACCGCACATGGACAATCAACAGTTCTAGGGTTCCTCATTCAACCCTGAACCCTAAACTCTAAACCTTAAACCCTAAACCCTTAATCCACATGGTTGAGAAGAGACGCAAAGAGCTCAGAGGCTTACACAAGTTAGGGTCTAAGATGCAGCTGGAAAGGGCGGTTCTGCTCTTAGGGCATAGGGCTTGACGATCAAGTTTAGTTCGGGTTTGAGTTGTTTGGCTTGTTTCGGCCAGCGGTCAGGCGTTCAAGGTTTTAAGATCAAGGACTTCTGGTGTTATGGAGGTGCGTTGCAAGTTATTTGTCAATCCGGATGCCCGAACACTCCCGAGCCTCAACCCTCAGGCTAAACCCCTAAACCCCTAAACCCCTAAGCCCCTAAACCCCTAAGCCCCTAAACCCCTAAGCCCCTAAACCCCTAAACCCCTAAGCCCCTGAACCCCAAAACCCCTAAACCCCTAAGCCCCTAAACCCCTAAATCCTAAATCCCTAAACCCCTGAACCCTGTTGGGCTTGACAGCTGCGCGTTCTGAGGAGGCAGAGGAGAATGGAGACGAATCGAGGTGCCGTGTCGTCTGTGGGGCTGAACTGAGGCCACAGGTTCTGAAGAAGGGTCCCTCCTCGGGGGTTTAGGGTTTCGGGTTTAGGGTTTCGGGTTTAGGGTTTAGGGTTTAGGGTGTAGGGTTTAGGGTTTAGGGGTTTAGGGTTTAGGGGTTCGGGCTTTGGGCTTAGGATTTAGGGTGGTTGGATGATTCAGGGCCCAGTTGCGCCTTTTCAACAGGGGGCCCTACATGCCAAGAGCTTGCCAAGCCCAAGACCAAAAGCCCCCGAGACCCTAAACCTTGAGCCGTAAACCCGAAACCCTAAACCCTACGCCCCAGAGAGAGCCCCAGAATGCTGAACACCAGGCGGCAGACACTGGCGGCGCTGCTTGCAACGGAGGCAGGACTTAGAAGGCTTTGCGCAAGGTTAGGGTTTAGGGTTTAGGGTTTAGGGTTCAGGGTTTAGGGTTTAGGGTTTAGGGTTTAGGGTTTAGGGTTTAGGGTTTAGGGTTTAGGGTATAGGGTTTAGGGTTTAGGGTTTAGGGTTTAGGGTTTAGGGTTTAGGGTTTAGGGTTTAGGGTTTAGGGTTTAGAGTGGGGTTTTGTACCCTAAACCTCCCCCCCCCCCCGCCCCAAAGCCCTCCAGCACCGACCCTCGCAGGCTCCAAAGCTGGCAGCGCGGCGGCGCGCCATGCGAGGCTCTGGGGCTTCTGGGGTGGTTCAGGGGGTTGGGGGTTTGTAGGGTTTATAGTGTTTATAGGGTTTATGTTAGGGTTTCTAGGGTTTATAGGGTTTATCGGGTTTATGGGGTTTATGGGGTTTATAGGGTTTATGTTAGGGTTTAGAGGGTTTAGAGGGTTTATAGGGTTTGTAGGGTTTAGAGGGTTTAGAGGGTTTAGAGGGTTTAGAGGGTTTAGAGGGTTTAGAGGGTTTATAGGGTTTATGGGGTTTATAGGGTTTATAGGGTTTATAGGGTTTACAGGGTTTATAGGGTTCAGAGGGTTTATAGGGTTTAGAGGGTTTATAGGGTTTATAGGGTTTATAGGGTTTATAGGGTTTATAGGGTTTATAAGTTCGGGTTTGGAGTTTAGGGTTTTAGGGTTTGGGTTTTGGGGTTTAGGGCAGTTTAGGGTTTAGGGTTTATAGGGTTTGGGGTTTAGGGCTTGTAGCGTTTAGGGGTTTGGGGTTTTCAAGGGTTTCAAGGGTTTCAAGGGCTTTTACAGGGGTTTCAAGGGCTTTTAGGGGGCTTAGCCGTAGCAGGGCTTGGGGGCCTGGGGCCTTTAGGGCGGGTTGTTGAGAGAAGCCCCCAAGCCCGAAATCCCCAACCTCTAAAGTAAAGTGTCTCAAAGCTCCCAACCCTAGCGCCCGAAATTTGCCTCAACCCCGAAAACCTCAACACTGAAACCTACCTCCCAAGGCCCCCCCCCCCCCCCGACAAAGCACGACCTTTTTTCAGGAACCAGAGTGGCCCCTTGTTTAGGTTCCCTTACAAGCCCCTTGAAACCCGAGAGGGTCCCCTTTATTCCTAGGTTACTCTTGGGTCTACATTAGTTTTAAAACCCTAAACCCTAAACCCTAAACCCTAAACCCTAAACCCTAAACCCTAAACCCTAAACCCTAAACCCTAAACCCTAAACCCTAAACCCTAAACCCTAAACCCTAAACCCTAAACCCTAAACCCTTTAGTGTGTTCTGCAGGCCTCTGAGCCAGTCGTCAGCTCGTTGCAGCCAAACGTACTGGTTCTTCCTGTGGGAAGAGAGGGAAATTAGGGAGTCATCAACTTGGGGACCCCTTCAGGGTACAGGGTGTAGCGTTTAGGGTTTAGGGTTTGGGGTTTAGGGTTTAGGGTTTAGGTTTTGGGGTTTAGGCTTTGGGCTGTGGATTTCTGAGGTCTTTGGGGATTGGGACATTGGGAAGTTCACGAGTTGGAATTTTTGAACTGGGGACCTATATGCTCCCTTTTTTTGATCGCGTTCCTCTCTGTCTGCACCTCGTCCCCTGAAGGAACAGATACATAGGTGGGATAGCAGGTTCCCAATGCCACCCTAAACCCTAAACCCTAAACCCTAAACCCTAAACCCTAAACCCTAAACCCTAAACCCTAAACCCTAAACCCTAAACCCTAAACCCTAAACCCTAAACCCCCACGAAGAACCAGTAGGATAATGTGTGCCCGCGGGGCTTGCTCCGGTGCTTCACGGCCCAGGGCGTTCGATGCGCGGCTAAGTCGGCTTGAACGGTTTGAACTCCAAGGTTCTAGAGCCTTTGAGTTAAGTTAAGGGGCTTTCAGGGTTAAGGGGTTTTAGGTCTTCGTTTTTTGGCGGGGTTTTTTCGGAATCAGGATTTAGGGTTCAAGGGTGTAGG